AATAGATCTTTTTAAATGTCAAAAAAAAAAAAAAAAAGTTTTGTTGAATAAAAAGTGCATGTATTCAGCTATATATTTGTTAGTTTTGACACATTTAAAATGTGTGGCTAAGAAATAAGTATTTCTTTTTGGTGTGGTCAGAGATTAATTTGGTAAATCCTTAATTTTGAGCCCTAAAGAAAGTCTTGTGAAATAAAAACCAATTGCAATGCGACACAACCCATTTGCTCATGCACAGTGAACAAGCTCATACACAACAAACACACATAGTGAAATAAATGAGGAGGCATGTGGACAACACATCTAAATCAAGTCATTTCAGCATATCAAAGTCACATTTGTTAATATAAAATATATTTTCCAAGAAACAAAATTGTGGCTAGTGAAAATGGCAAGTGGCTAGTAATGTTGGAAATCTACTAGCAACAGTGGCTGGCGATCAAAAATGTTAATTTCTAGCCCTGGTAGTGACTCTAAAAGAGTTTTAAAGGTTATTAAAATAAAGCATTTAGGAGATATACAACTAATATAAACATGTAAAGCTTGTAGTTAGTAACTTCCTCCTTCCGGTTTTATCCACGCCATACTGAAGTTTCTCATCAAATTGTGACCAAACAAATAATCTCTAGTATCTGACATGCCCCACTCCCTTCAAGACACTACTTATTTGATGTGCTCATTTGATAAGACCATATGGATAATGTGCTGTTCTAATATTCGCTTTAATTTAAGTTTAAGTTTTGGGATATTATATGAGCAAACACTTGCCAATTGTTACTCACATGCAAAGTATTTTATTTATTAAAGGGATTGAAGCGACAAAATGACAATTCTGTCATCGTTTACTGTTTCTCATGTTCAAAAACCTACTGTATAACATGAATTAATATTTTTTTGGGAAAAAAATAGAGGCAACACAATGACAAATTTTGCATTTAGAAGACAGAAAAAGTAATATAAACACGTAAAGTTTGTAGTTTGTAACTTCCCCCTTCCAGTATTATTCACATCATCTCATACTGCAGTTTCTTATCAAATTATAACCAATTAAATTCTCTCTAGTTTCGGACATGCCCCACCCCCTTCAAGACACTTCTTATTTGATGCGCTTATTTGATATAGACCATATGGATGGTGTGCTCCTCTCATATTCGCTTTAATTTATTCTAAATACATGTGTTTTGGAATATTTAATGAACATGCACTTGCCAATTGGCACTCGCATAAAAAGTATTGCAAGTGTTTGATTTATTAAAGGGATTAAAGCAGCAAAATGACAATTCTGTCATCCTTTACTGTTTCTCATGTTTAAAAACCTACAGCAAAACATAAATTAGATTAATATATTTTGGAGACAAAAAAAGTGACAAAATAGTGACAAAACTCGCATTTAGTAGATATAAAACTTATATAAACACATAAAGCTTGTAGTTAGCGACTTCCGCCTACCAATTTTATTCACGTCATCATATACTGCAGTTTCTCAGAAAATCATGACCAATTAAATGCTCTCTAGTTTCTCTCTAGTGCCCCACCCCTTCAACACACTTCTCATTTGATGCGCTCATTTGATATAGACCATGTGTGATGTGCTGCTCTAGTATTCGCTTTAATTTGTTCTAAATACATGTGTTTTGGAATATTTAATGAACAAACACTTGCCAAATGGCACTCACATGGAAAGTATTGCAAGCGTTTTATTTATTAAAGGGATTAAAGTGACAAAATAAAAATTCTTTCATCGTTTACTGTTTCTCATGTTCAAAAACCTACAGTATAACATAAATTAATATATTTTGGGAGAAAAAAAATATGACAAAACTGACAAAATTTGCATCTAAACTAATATAAACACGTAAAGTTTGTAGTTAGTAACTTCCGCCTTCATGTTTTATTCATGTCATCTCCTACTGCAGTTTCTCATCAAATCGTGACCAATCAAATTCTCTCTATTATCTGACATGCCCCGCCCTTTTCAAGACCATTCTTATCTGATGCCCTTGAGCTAGACTACTTTCACTGGCAGAGCAGCGATAAAACAAAACGCAATAGGCTGTTTTTTAAGGGGCTACACTATTGATATACTCCCACCCACTCTTCATGTTTCAGTTGAGATTATGTCAAACATCGAATAAAAATTCATTTAATAATTTTTAAATAAATTTTCCAAATAAAATGTAAATATTTAAGAATAAATTTTTAATAGAAAGACAAATAGATAGATAGTATAGGTAAAGTACAGTATATACATAAATATAGATATAAATACAGATATAATAGATGCTTTAATAGGCATACAATGGTGTGAAAATGCATTTGCCCCTTACTGATTTCTTATTTTTTTCAGTGTTTGTCACACTTTAATGTTTCAGATCATCAATTTAAATTTAAATATTAGTCAAATCATCATTAGTCAATTATCATGTTTTTAAATAAAGGTTTTTATTATAAAAGGAAAACAAAGGATCTTTTGAGGATCTTTTGGGCTACTTCACTTAGTCAGGCAGGTCCTTATTTTTATTATAAAAGGAAAACAAAGGATCTTTTGAGGATCTTTTGCTCTACTTCACTTAGTCAGGCAGGTCCTATGTACGTAATATCTTGATTGTGAACTAGTGTAGCAGTAATCAGGCTTGAGTGTGTGTTTTAACAGGGGGGGAAACACTTATTCACACAGGGCTGTTTTTGCACTCTTTTTTCCCTTAATAATGAAAAACCTGCAATATGTGTTTACTAGTGGTACTTTTGACTGTTATTTAAATTTTATTGATGATCTGAAACATTAAGGTGTGACAAATCAAAATCAATAAGGGGGCAAACACTTTTTCTCACCGCTGTATATAGTGTAAAAATAATTGTGTTTTATTTATGTCAATAATATTTGAATTTGAAAACAATGAGGAACATAATATATTTGCACCTGTAATTGTTTTTTAATCTGACAAAAATTATCAATACAATCATACGTGATCTCTAAAATGTTAAATCCTCATTAACTAAAGTTTCATTATCTAAAACAACAACATTCCTGCATTTTACAAGATGTGGTTGAAGTATACAATTTGAGGCCTTTCAGGAAATTCCCACACACTGCTCAATCCTAAATAGTTTTGTAAATATATATATATATATATATATATATATATATAGATATATATAGCTTCACATATTAAATATACTGGCCAAACATAATCCTAGTTCATCCTCACAATTAGCCCGGCATACGTCAGGAGAGATTTTGAAGCTGATTCTTTATGATGTTTAAGTTCCTACATGGGCCTCTAGGTCTGTCTAACACCCCGCAGATCATTAGACCTAATCACTCTCACTTATCACGGCAAATTAACTAATGCATCTGACAGTGAACATGGAATGTGGCTTCTTCAAAGCACAGGCATGATGGAGCCCCAGCTGTTTGAATATAGGCATCTGGGGTCCCAGCCTCAGTATAACACTCCATACTCTGAAGATTTAGAGCATATGGATGACATGCTCCAACATTCGGTTTGTTTTATTCTAAATACATTTGTTTTGGAATATTAAATGCATTTACATGGAAAGTTTTGCAAATAAATTATTTATTAAATGGATTGAAGAGACAAAAATGATCGATTACTGTTTTCCATGTTCAAAAACCTACTGTATAACACAAATGAATATATTTTGAAAAAGAAAACTGTATCTTAAAATATCTTCATTCATGTTCCATTGAGAAAAGAATGGAAAGGTCCATTTTTGCTACTTAATTGCTTCATTACGCCTAAGTTTATATCAATACATCAATACAATACAGGACTTCAATACATTACAGATATGCTCACTGAATACAAACCCAACAGATTACTCAGAACATTAGGATCAAGTAATTTAGAAATTCCAAAAGTTCAGTCAAAGCAGGGTGAATCTGCCTTCAGCTACTCCGCCCTCAGCTTCCAGAAATGATCAGATGTGCTCCATCATTAGGCACATTCAAATCAAGACTGAATATACATCGGTTTACCTGTGCCTTTACAGAATGAGCACTTTGCTACGTCCAACAAATCTTTTTTCATTCTTTTAGATCCTGTTTTAACACATTTTAATCATTGTTATTATTTGTTTTTATTTTCTTATACACTTGCCTCTTTTATTCCTGTTTATGTAAAGCACTTTGAATTTCTGCTGTGTATGAAATGTGCTATATAAATAAACTTGCCTATGCCTTATAAAGGCCCAGGTATGCTTCAAACTAAATTCTTTTTTATTCTTTGTTTGAGGGCAAAAAGAAGTTCGAACTTCTTGCTTAAACACAACAGACCAATATTAGCTCAAAGGTGTTAAGTAGTCAAAACAAACTCCTCCAAAAAGTTTGCTTTGGTGAGCAATGCCTAACATATTTTTGCTCAAAATAACAGCATTTAGTTTATTCTTTGATTTCGTTTGAAGTATAACAAAGGCTTTATTCCCATTTGACTGAAAAGTTCTTTGTGGAACCAAAACTGGTTCTTCTATCGCATTGCTGCAAAATCCCTCTTCAGGAACGTTTACATTTAAGGTGTGGCGTAAGTATCCAAACGTTTTGAAGTCACCGCATACATGGAAAGGAAAACAAGGAAAATTGCAAGCAACTAAATCCTGCATGTTTCTAAAGTTAACGCATTAACTATCATCTGGCTATGGCTAATCATAAGCATAGTTCATTCAGACAATTAGTCCAGTAGATATCAGGAGGGATTTCAGTATAATAATTCCTGCCTTTTGATTTAGATTTCACTGAAAAGCATCTGAAATGTCATTTGGTAAAATTTAGGGTGAATTACACCAATAGAACTTCACAATTTTTAAAAGTTCAACAAACGTAACAAACAATGCATCTAAGACAAAGATTCAAAACATTGCAGTTCTTCAATTGTCCACCTTGCGACAGGCAACAGAAAATGCTTCAGAGTTGTTTTAGCAACAAATATCAGATTTAGCTATACTTTTACTTCCATAAAGTGATATGAATTGGATTAACTTACTTTTTTCTGGTCTTCGAGAGCATGGGTGACAGTCCTCCTCTTCTGCTGAAGCTGCTGGTGAAGCTGGTGATGGGGACAGAGGTGCTGGCATGTTTCTGAACCCACCTCCATTATATCGATAGCGCTCCCAATCAAAACCTCACACTCGGAAAAATTCCAGAGCTCCTTCCTCAATCAAGATGTTCCTTGATCATCCAAATCAGGCATTAAATTTGGTCATTAAACCTACAATAAAACGACTGCTAACCTTCATTTGGCTGTTCGATGGATCGGTCCAGCGCGACCATATAGTTGGAGGATCTGCAGACACGGATCTTTGCTTCATGATACCAAATGAGGAGTAATATAACTTGCTAAGGGGCCGAGAGTGGCTCAGTCTTAGAAGGTTCGTGTTTCTTCAGTAATGCACGAGTGAGCATCTCAAGTCACGCTTCATATCGGCTATAGAACTGTCATATTGGAGATCCTCTGCCACCTAGAGTCACGCATGGATTGAGAAGTGTGTATGGGTCTTGAAGAGAAAGGAAGGAAGAGAGAAAAAAAAGTAAGGTACAAGTGTCAGAATTGGTTCACTGTCTTGTCTGACCGTTTTAACATCTCTCTGATGGAAACAACTTCTGAACATAAAAAAATGCAAACGAAAGTAGATTGTTTTGACACACTTTAAAGAAAACTCTGGGTCAAAGACAAGGTGTCCTATTTTAGTGTCCGTGTCAAATTAAATTTGCATTTGATTTTAAGAATAAAAAAAGCATTTTAAATGCAAGTGAAGAGCATACTTTACTGTTTTAAGAATATTAAAAATATGGGTGAAATGTTCCATTGCCATTTAGTAAAGCAGAGAAGTAATGTAGGCTATATTTATTCACACATTCAGAATTTCACCTTCCTAATATAATTTCATAAGTGTTCTTTGCAAATTCCAAATAGGGAAATTATATTAGGAGTCAATGACTATGACAAAGCAGCCTACAACATTGTTCCAAGTTAATTAAATAGCACTAATTGTTAATTTAAAGTCATACATTTTTAAGTCAGACGGAATATTCAAACGTGCATGCTAAACATTAAAGTGACTTTCCATAGAGATGAGTGTATTAATAATCTTTTTTGAATTACAGTTACAAATATAAATCGTTGTGCCCATATGGTACGTCATGATAATTAAAATGTTTTAGCCTATTTAAAATCTGCTTTCCTGTTTTATTGAACGCAAAAGTCTAAATGTGCGAATTTAAACCAACTTTACCTCAATGAAAAACAGATATATTTATAATTATTCAAAATGAATCAACAAAGTTATAATAACTTAAAAAGAGATAATTTCATAATATTTTAATTGACTAAAACATCTTGCTTACAATTGAGTAAAACCGTGCTGTTTCAGCAAGTATCAAAACTTTGTTCAAATCCCTAAAATAATCTTTTTAATATTTTAGTTGTTACGCTGAATTTACTTGGTGTCTCTGTAATAACACTGTTCACTTCAGAAAAGACTAATTACACACTGTAATGTGCAGGAAACTACACATTTTTAGCTTCTTTTTGATACTTGAGAACTTTTTTTTTTTGCCTTGATCCCTTTACACTTTTAATCATATGCAGAATGTATTTTAATCGTTTAAACACTTTCATTGCTCTTTCAGATTACCTCAAACACCGTTTCAGATGTTACATTTACTTACAATACCGCAAACTCGGTCAGCCTTTCACTCAGAGAACTAGAGCAGGTAAAAGTAAATTTACCGCATTCTGATACCCCATTCAGTTTATAAAAAAAGAGTTAACTCACTTTTACTTCTGTCGGTGCTGCACGCGGAGCCGGTTGAAAAGTAGCGGCGTTGTTTATGACGTCATGCCCAAACCAAGAGAAAACCCTCAACGCCTCCCCGAAAGAGTTTCCCCAGGAGCAACTGAGGTCTTTCTCCTGGACTCCAACGTTTGTCTTCACCCCAGGAACTCTCTTCATGAAGAATGTGTACGCCATCTAGAGGAGACAATTCAAATCATTACACTGACTAAAGTAATTCACACTCATAATTCAGCTTAAATTTATGACTGAAGGGAAGTATTGACAACAGAAAATCACTCAAACTTTTGCACTCCTATTTCTTACAAAAAGTACAGACGATTAAACAAAAGGTCTTTATGCCCAAGGACTGCACTTGTTAATTGACAGCAGTGACCTGACAGTGAGAACTTAAAGGGATAGCTCTGATTTCTGAGAAAGCATAACAATTTAATAATGTGCAACAAAATAGAGAGAGCTTTGCTGATGAGTTCGGTTTTATTTGCCTACTACAATACTGACTCCTCACTAGAAAAGCCGTCAAAATTAGAAATTGTTGATTAAAAACATAAATTTACACATAAAAGACACTTGAGTAGCCGACAATAGCCTATGGTATACTTCCCCTACACAGCAAATTCATCAGAGTTAAATTCTCGGTGTTGAAGCATTTCAGAGTAAAGTGTTGACGTTAAAGAGTTAGATTTTGATAAATTAATATAATAAGAGTTAGAATTGATTTTATTCAGTGCGAAATCAAGGAGTTATCTTTTCAACACTTGGTGGTGTTATTTCCAACATCCGGGAATTCATGCAGCCCCAGTCACTGAAGAATTTTCCAGACGCCATTTGGTGAGTCAAACTACCTAAATGTTGGTATTTTACTGACTTTCTTTAAGGAAATACAGTTGTAAACATATTGTTAAGTTAATAACTTTAGAATGGAGTGACAATTTTAAACTTCTGCGGTTCATTCATGGTCGTTTGTGTATCTAGCTTAACTGCATTACTATTGACTTCTTTTCAAGAATGTTTTTATATATGCTCACGCATACAAAGTGCATAAAAACATCAAATGTACATGTTCAACACATTTCTGTCACGCTTAATGCCATTTTGTGCGTTGTTACCCATCTGTAAAATAAAATTGACACTTCTCCTTTAATTCGAAGCAAACTAGCGAGGGAATCCCCGGAGCCGCCTAGCCTACTCTGCCCGGATGCTAACGGCAACACAGGACGGTTTCCATAAGCTCCGGAGAGTTTCTAAAACATATCTGGTGAGTAAATGAACATATGCTTACTTGTAAAAGGCTTCCTAACTAAAACATATGATTGTTTGTTATTCGTGTACGTTAATTTGGTTATTTTAAACACCGCGGCCCTTTTAAACTGGTTCATTCGTGGCCGTCCATATACTGTTAGTCCATAGACTCGTGTGATAACGTACGCTTGAATTATATTAAGTGTTGACAACCATTAAAGTCGGAATGTTAACATTAATGTCTTTAAATGACCGCGTTTGCACTTTCTCAGACATTTAACGTTACAGAAGTCTCCCGGAAGTTGCGGGACTAACGTTAACATTATCCCGCAAATGCACAGAGACTCCCAGATGCCCAAGTAGATGCCCGCAAATGAATGATAATCTCCCGGAAAGCGCGCGTCTCCCGCCTGGTCATTAAACACTTTGCACACCCCTCTCCACCGCATCCCTCCCAGCTCTTTAGGTACGTCGCGCGCAAGTCACCCCCACCGCTCTTTAGGTACGTCGCGCGCAAGTCACCCCCACCGCTCTTTAGGTACGTCGCGCGCAACTCATTGCTCTTCAGGTACTTATCTCTCCCGCTACCTCCCGCAAATCAACTCTGTATCCCCCGAAAATGACTTCTCCCAACTCGGGATGTCTGACGTAAGTAAGTTAGGCTATTTCTGTAGTCAGGAACATCTTAGTCAAGCTTTTTCTCCAGCATGATATTGTGCTTAAAACTATAGGCTAAACTTAGCATGTACTGTACACAACATTTCCGTTTTATTAAAGACAATTTAGTGCGTTGTAATCAACTGATTCAAATTTGAGCAGCCTAATGATGATACAGATTTGATTTGTAGATTTATTATCAATAATCATCATCTGAATCAAAAGATATCTGAAAAAGTGTGAGGCATACTTTGTGATGTTCATCTCTCTTTTTTTATCTGAAGGCTATGCATATGTGTTAAATACTAATGTGTTGTTGTTTTTTAACAGCCACAGTTCTCTATACAATAACACAACCCTGTGACGGTGGCTGATAAGAGACGGATGGTGTATTTTTATTTTTGTGGTGATGATAATGAAGGTATGTTTGATAAAGTTCTGTATTTATTTTCACAATAACCTGAGAGGGTATTAGAGCATTAGAGAATAACAAATGACATGAAGGTGATAAGTTTTGTATTGTGGGTGAACTGTTACTTAAATAATGTTTTGCTCTTTGCTTTGCACTTTTCCTCTTCTGCTTATCCTAATATTTTAGATTATATTTGGACCTGAAACATCTGCTAGACTCCAGGAAAGGTGGCGTCAATACTGGACCTGAAAGGGCCTAGCAAGTTGAATCTGGTAAAGAAACACGCACGCGCACACACACACACACACACACACACACACACACACACACACACACACACACACACACACACACACACACACACACACGCATGCACACGCTTACAGAAAACTGTAAGTTTATAAATATTTTTTACACTGTGGCCAATATTTTGGGGAAGTCAGCATCACTAAATGATATAAAAGATTTTCAGCTCCTCTAAATTTTGCTCCAAGTGTTGTGTTAAATTCAGGATTCTGGACAGACAGCTGCCTGTTTTTCCAGTTCTAGTCATAGTGGTTAACCTAATTGTTTTTGGAGATCCAACAGTGATGTATGTGTTTTTTCTACTTTTCCATATCCTGTCACCTCAACCAGCTGGGAGAGTCAAGTTGTGGATCATCATGAAGATTTTCAAAAGGTGAGTTTAGATTTCTTGAATGTTTTATTTACTTTAAATGTTCTTTTAAATATATCATAGAATTTGATTGCAATTTGTTTTCAAACATTTTTCTTAGTCATGCTGGAGTCTTGAAGAGTTCTTAGATGAGCATCACCCTATATCCGTGCATCAGGAACCACCAGACGAGCGATCAGCAGCTACTACATCGTCATGGATAAAAAGGTCATCCTGTGGCTGGGAAGCACTTCATTCACAGGACATGCTTGATGAGGTTTCCTAGCTCCAGTTTGTTTTCACACAAGTTTACAGCATTTATACCTTCATTTAAACTGCTGTGTTTGATATGGAGGACCAAGGAAACACCAGAAGTGAAAGATTTGCAAGCCAAGTTGTTTAAAATGTGATTTCATAAGAAAACTATGCGTTCAGAAGAAAACTATGAGTGACGATATACTGAACTTTCAAATTGCTCTGATGAAACATCAAGTTTGGACCAAAGGACTGAAACAGCCTTTTTGAGCACTGGTCATACATATTTTGTTGATACTGTCTGTACTAATAAAACATTTAAAGCATATTTGACATTGTTGCATTTTAAAAACTGAATGAATTGTTGAAGTGGTGAATGTTTTCAAATAAAATGTTTTTTCTTTTGTAATTTAAAGTCTATTTGACCTTTTTACCATATTTACACTCAAGAGAGTTGAATAAAATAATATATTACACCAGGCGGTGTTAAATATAGTTAAATTTTTTAACTCTGCCCAGAGTTAAAATTAACCCTTACTTCGGTGTCAATGTGCCAACCCTTTTGAAAGTGTTGATTTAACTCTGTTTTGAGTGGACCCCATGAGACACTTTCAAAGTGTTGAAATTAACACCCATAGAGTTGTTTTGGGTCCCCATATTTTGCTGTGTATCTCTGCCCCCTCACGTTCATGTCTGTAAAATCTATACTGTCCTATACAAATGAAGGTGAAAACCCCTAAAAAAAAATTAAATATTTAAAAAAGATGCTCCAGCTGTGCCCCTTGAAAACATGTTTTTTTTTTTTTACCTTAAATGTCAGAAATATAATGATTGTGAAATTTTAAAGGTAGCAAATGACACACCTATGCTGCCTTCAGAATTTGATCAGAAGAAGGTTCATCCTGAGTCAGAAAGTGAAATATAATTTGGACTTGGATGTGCCTTGATGCTTTTTTTTTTGGCTCAATAAGCTGTTGGACTCTGCCAAAATTAATAGTCATAACTTATATGATTGGTCTTGGGGGAAAAAAACCATCCTTTTTCATCCACAGCCTCGACAAACAGTGTTTAATGGCATGTAACAAACATCATAAATGTACATTACTCAAAAACGTATCCAAAAGTGCAAAACTATTTATTTGACAAATTAATATTGTTTTGAGAAAATAATTTATTAATTTTCCTTCAGTTTGGTTTCTATTTTAGAGGTTGCTGCAGCGGAATAATTCAAAAATAATAAAATGTAATTATTTTTAAATCAACGTTTTGTGTTACTTTGTGTTTTTTGTTGAGCTTTTTTTTTATTGTGATTTTGCTTTTTCATTTCATGTAGATTTCTAAACTTTTTTTTTTTATTAATTCATTCATTTTCTTTTCAGCGTAGTGCCTTTATTAATCTGGGGTTGCCACAGCGGAATGAACCGCAAACGTATCTAGCATTTGTTTTACGCAGCAGATGCCTTTCCTGCCACAACCCATCACTGGGAAACACATGTACAATTTAGCTTACCTTATTCACCTATAGCGCATGTCTTTGGACTGTGGGGAAAACCGGAGCACCCGGAGGAAACACACGCAAACATAGGGAGAACATGCAAACTCCACACAGAAACACCAACTGACCCAACCGAGGGTCAAACTAGCAACCTTCTTGTGAAGCAATCATGCTACCCACTGCACCACCGTGAAGCCCACAAATTTTTCAGCATATAATAATATTTTAATTTTAGTTTGTAATAAAAAACAGAATTGAACTTGTGCTCACAGTGAACAGTTATGAGTAGGGCCAGACAGAATCTGCAGACATTTTTTGAATTCTGTAAACAAATCTGCGGATTAATGCGGAATGATTTTGGCAGTATCATAAAAA